CTTCTCAAGTAGCATACCAATGTATGCTTCACTTTCTGCTGCGATTATTTATTATTCTGTTTCAATGAATTGATTTAAATAAAACGTTACTTGAAAATCATTCGTTTGGCTTGGATCCAAGATAAAGTTACTTCCTCCAAGTCATTTTTCGAGTAAAGATAACAAATAAGTGGAAATTTTTATCTTTATCTCAATAAAATTTATTACAAAACAGACATATATATATACATATATCTTCATTATATATGTACATATTTGAACATTTTTTATAATTCAAATGAAGAAATTAAAATATCTTGAAAAATTAACTAATCAATTTTCAACCCAAATATATAGCCTTTCTTGAACTTTAAGTTTGTGAAACGCCTCGCCTCTACTTTCAGAGAAGATTTATTCACCAGGTCAGACCAATATTTGAAACCATTTAATTTTTTCTAACGAAATTTTTCTCTCTCTATCCTCTACCGTTTTGATATTATCTTAAGATATACAATTAATGAATCTTGAATTAATAAATAAATATATGTAAAAATAATATATATAAGATATATTTATTATTATATTTAATTTAATTTTTTTATTATGTTATTAAATTATTATTATATTTAATTTAATTTTTAACCTAATTTATTATATAATTATTTATACATATGTTTATTAATCCCAAATTTATTAGTAACCGGGTATCTCAAGATCTATAAATAGCCATTATCGTACCTTATCTTATCACAGTGATAAGTCTTTATATTCAGCCACATATATATGTATATCATAAGTACCATTTTTCAATGGTCATTCGAAATTTGCATCAACGACCAAAAAACCATTCGAGTGAATTTGAATCCTAAAGCCTTTGGATCTTCAAAGGCCTTGTATTTTTCTACGTAGAAACGACGTATTTTCATATATGTACACATATTTATAAGACTATTTGACGACCTTATCCCACCTATGCGAAGGAACAGGGAATCCTTGAGCAGGGCACAGGAGAGTCAAAGTCTGTTCGACCGTCGAGACGAATCCACGAGAATTATCCATCGTTGGGAACTTGGGTCGTACGCTCCCCACGGGTTCTACGAGCAATCCCAGAGAGAAGTAGCGCAGAATAAGAAAACAACAATGGTGTCGACGGTGCACAAGGGACAGGGAAACCCACTCGGGGGGGAAAACACGCGGCAGCGAAAAGAATTCATGTTCGGAGCAAAGTAGAAGGGCCGGGGCGCCAACTGTTGCGCTATAATTCATCACCGGTGCATCTTGAAACGCGGATTAACATCGGTTATTTAACCGAGCCACTTGTCCTTTGATCTCGACGGGAACGAAGACGAAGCATTCTAGAAACTAGTCTCCAGAGCGAGAGCAGCTCTCTGCAGGCTGAAGTAGTAACGCTCGAATCTCCTTCATCTCCTGTTTCTCGCGTCCGCGGCAACTTATCAACGAGCCTCGTACCTATAAGACGGAAGAGGGAATCCTTGCGCGGGGCAGAAAAGAGGCAAACTCCCGTTCATCCTCGTCGTGAGTCCGATCAAATTGATCGTGCTGGAGAGTTTCGGTCGGGCGCTCGCCACTGGCTCTGCGAATTCGATCGGTTCAGTGCAAAGGAAGTTTTTCGTTCCTCGACGTTGAAATTAAATTTGGCAACTAACGATGAACGAACTTCCGATTTCAGCAGTTTCTCGAATTCTCCGGTAAATGAACGAAGTAGTACAAGTTCGATGTAAATAAAACGAACTATTATATCAATCTAACATCTGAGTTTACGTACCGAAATCGTTATAAATGTGTGAACTATGCTTGTTGTATGAAACATTTCGATATTTTATTGATATGTTATGTTCGTAAAATTTGCAACATATTTATTGCAAAGATGTTTATATATTAATATATAAAGTTAACATATCTATCCAATTCCACTGAGTATCATTTGATAGAGAACAGTTGATGCCTACTTTTATCAAATATCTTGTAATGTCTACATATTTTTAAGTTTGTTTCAAACTTGATCAATATAATTATGACAGTCAAGTCTCGCTACAATTCTAAAGAAATATCGAAATAAATGTAAATGAGATCGAGTACTTTCGTGAGCATATACAATTGGTTATTTTGCACACGATTTAGAAATCGATAAAGTGGGACTTGGATATTTCGAAAGCCTAAGAACTTTTCCATCGAATCGACGTCTGATCGCGTCAAGTTACCATTTCGTGCTAAATTCAATTCCAAGATCAAGGGACCAAAAACGGCGAGTGATCTTCCGGGTCACTCGCTTTGGCCAATGCTGCGTCGACAGTTCGCGAATCGGTCGGCCAACTTACTTGTGTACCGGGACAGGGAACCCTTGGGCGAAGCACAGCAACGTCACCGAGCCGTCTTTCATCGTACGGAATCCTCTGGTGTCGTCGATCGTCGGGAATTTCGGTCTCACGCTGCCCACCGGCTCTGAATCCCATCACAATTGAGTTCACGCAGCGGGAATTCGAGTGTGATGGCGCGAGGGATCGGGAACCCCTGCGCGGATTTGCAACGATCGCGGGCAAACTAACAAGCGGATTAGGAAAATCAACGTTCTAAGGGATTGTAACGTTCTCAAGGATCTTGAAAATGAATTTCTCTAGATAGATTTCCTTAGTGATTCGTAATAATACTAAACGTTATACAGAAACTAAAAGACCTTTGTTTGTATTTTGATAGTTACCATCTTTCTATGATTATCATAAATACACTTTATTTAGTGAAAGATTGTTTTTAAGAATGTTTCACGAAATCTAAATCACTTATATTAAGATCCATGTGTATTATTAATAGCTTTGGAATTACGCGCAAAAAGTTTTCGACTTAGTAGAATACTGATCAAATTTAATAAATTATACATGGATTCACTACTTCGATTTGTTTTATTTGTAACATCATTGACTAACTGGAATAGACATCCAGAAACATTTTTTTGGGAGTCAAGTAATATAGATCGCATAATCAGACATAAGCAAGTAATACAAGTCAACGTATGATGAGACATAAACAAGTAGATTTGCCTAAAGTTGGTTGCTTGTGCTTATCTTATGTGTAGTAGATTTCGTAAAATTGAAGAATCCATTATCGAAGCAGATGAATCCTCTCTCGAAGCTAACATTTTATATCTTTGGAGTCTTTTCACATCCCTTTAAATTTCATTTCTCGCTCGGTGGCCATTCAGAATTATAGCCCAAAATAATTTTAAGAAGTAGTAAGAAGAAGCATAAATGATTATATATTTAAACTGTGTGTTAATATTCCTTTTATGGCTTGAAACTTAAAATTTCAATATTCCATGTAGAGAAACCCATCGATGAAACACGCGTAAATAGTTTTAGATACTAATTTCATGTTTCGGAAGATACACTATTTGACAACACTGTAACGGATTTCATTTTACTTGATACAGTTCTCCAATTCACTTAAGCGTAGAATGCGCTGAAAGACCAATGATTTTTTTCAGTTTCAGAGACATGTCGACGACGTAAAGAAATTGCTTTTATCCACCTAACAATCCATGTATATCGATGTATATCCATGCTTTGGATATTCTACTTATCTTTTCATATTGCATTTTCCCTCCCACAAATCCATAATCTACCTATTACTAACGACCTTCTTTAGAATAAAATACATCTCGATGAATTAATTGTACATCAAACACTTTTGAACTTCTATCGGACAAAGTAAATTTGAAGCGCTAATATCCTAAAGTAGAAGATTTTCCGATTTTTTATTTGAAAAAGAGGGATGACACCTTGACATATGAAAGCTTGAAAACCACTGATCTAATACTACTTTGCTTCACGCTAAAGACCGTGCTCCGTTCGTTCACAGTTCAAATAAATAAATAAATAATTCTCTATTTCGAAGGCATACCTATAACTCGGTACAGGGAATCCCTGCGCGGGACAGAGGAAAGGCAACGTCCCGTTGGTAACCATTGTCAGACCATTTATGTTGCTCACGGATGGGAATTTCGGTCGAACGCTGCCCACGGGTTCTGCGTTTCCAGCGTCGAGGAAAAGGTCCAAGAAAGAGACAGAACGCGAAGGTGCTTAATTGAAGGAACTTACTTGAAAACCAGGGCAGGGTATCCCTGCGCGGGGCAAAGAAGGGTCACAGAGCCGTCCCTGGTCGTTCGAAAACTCCTGGAGTCGTCGATGGTCGGGAATTTTGGTCTCACGCTGCCAACCGGCTCTGATTATGCAATTAAACGGCACGTTCGCTTCTCAAATATCGATACATGTCGGACAGAGTTCCTCTGCTTTATTTTCTTTTAACCACTTGCCTCATTAAATTGAGTTGGTCGAAGTCTCGAGTGAATTCACCAATATACCATATATTCTCACTAACAAGTCAATGATAGCAAATGTTCTTTTTCTTTTATCAATATATAATTCACTCGTAACACTCAAATATATTTTCCCCGACTGACGTGAGCTCCAGACATAATTTCGGAATGATAATTGACACTCATACGTCCCCTGGGTTAACTTGACACATTTTCTTATAAGAAGTTGTAATCTAATGTAATAATATATTATATTTATGTCTATATTTATTTTTAATAACAAGATACACTGCCCGAGGGAAAAGACTGTATGTGTCATTCTCATACGTTATGAAATTCTTTGACAATATCTTGCCACCTTTCACGATGTAACTTCCAAAGATGCATATAAATATGTTGTAGTTTAACGCTATGAAAAACTGGAGAGGCTAAGATCCACGAGAAATTGAACGAAGATAAAAATGTACGAAAGTCAAACTAACTTTTGTGAATTTTACGCGCCATTGAATAGGGATTTAATTCATTTATTAAGTACGTTAACAGAAGAATTTGCAAATCTAACTGTTGATCTGATACCAAGGGACGAATTAAGTTAATTTAAGAAAATAATTTCTTAAATAATAACGTTTGGAACAGGTAACGAATTAACAAGGCAAGGGGTTGATTGATTCTCTACCTGTTTGAGGGGACGGGGAACCCCTGTGCAGGGCAGATCAAAGCCTCGCTTCCGTTCACCGTCGTCCTGAATCCACGAATGTCGTCCGTCGATGGAATTTTTGGACGAACGCTGCCCACGGGTTCTGAGGGACACGTGAGCAACGATTCAGACTCATTTCTCCCGTTTATACGTGGAACGAGAGACCCCTGAGGGAAGCAGGGTCGTCCCAAAAGCCACCCCTTTCGCGTCGACGCGTTAATAAAGGAATAACGATCTCGATTAATTACACAGAAGATACCTTTCTGCTTCCAAAGTCTAGCTTTGATGGTCATTCACGAATACTCGGGACAATTTTCCCAATATTCCTAGTTCTGCCTAAGCAGTTTGAAATTTCTTTCAATATTTTATTTTGTAAAGAGAAATCGTGCAACAATCAGCTTTTTGAATTCATTTTAAAGCTTGAAGCGTCTACTTTCAGAATGTATCACGTTCATTTTATTCCAAGATATTTTCACAGTATGTATATGCGGACAGGAAAGTGGAAACGCTTTTTTCTTCTCGAAAATGTTGTAAATTGTCATAGTACGTAAAAGCATTGAGAAACTTTTTTCTCGTGATTGAACTTACAATGGATTTGGAGATTAAAGCCTCCACTTTGTAAATGATGAACTTTAGACTCATATGACGAAAATTCAAAAAATATTTTCACTTTCACCTGATATTCAAAGTTCAAAATAAATTAAGATAAGAAAAAAAAAAAAAAAAAGAAACGTACAGGAATTTTCAAGGGATCGTTGCAAAGGTTTCAATCTTCAAAATCATTGTAGATTAAATTATGAAGAACTGTTTCAATGTTTTTACATGCTATGACAATTTACAACACTTTCGAGAAATAAAGCATCTTCATTTATTTATATAAAAATTTTAGAACTTTTTTAGAACAAACGACATATTTTGAAAATAGAGGTTTCAAGAGCTTTCAAATGAGCCCACGTTTCCTATTGTACAATCCCTCTTTCACAAACTTATAACAGTTGCAATATTTAATCCGAATATTAACCTAAGTGCATCGACTTACTTATAATAAAAGAGGGATGATCTCGCGTTAAACAGTCGCGATCAATTGCACGCAGGAAGCTTTTAAATTCCTCAATATCTAGCTTCGATAAATCATTCACGAACATTCCTAATAACGTGCTTTCCTTCCGATTTTTTCCCCAATATTTCTAGTCTCGCCTACACAGCCCGAGGTTCCCTTTCTTTCGATCATGCTGAAGCATATATCACTGCGGACCGGTGGTCAGAGATATAGAATCGTACCTATAAACCGGTACCGGGAATCCTTGGGCAGGGCAGAGAAGCGGTAAATTGCCTTTCGATTCCGTCGAAAGTCCGTTAATGTTGTCCATCGAAGGAAACTTTGGCCGCACGCTGCCCACCGGTTCTGTTTCACAACGAAAACACTATGACAACTGGTGGAGTCGTTTGCGGCGCGTGAGGCCTCTTGCACAGACCCTTCCTCGTCTCACTGTGATTCTCATTACCGCATCTCTTGGCCGTCGTTAACCTAATCACACTGTGCGACTCAGACTCAGATGGAATCGCATTCGCAGGATGGATTCACCCGCCATTCGTTGACCCATTACATTAACGATAGAACAGCTCTGTAGCCAACGAAGCTCTGTGTGTATGTGTGTGTGTGTGTGTTTGTATGCGTGTATGTATATGTGTGTTTCTTGAATTTATCTCGTGAGAAGATAGAGGAAAATCCGAATTGCAGACGCTTCAACTCCTCTAACTGATATCATTGAGCATTGGAAATCATATTCAGATTTGATATTGTTCAATTTTGGATTTCTTTTTATTTGATTCATGTCAGAGGGACATTCTCGTTTGGCTTGAATTTCAAACGATTTATTGGACAAGAAATTAGATCAGATCGTTATACGAGTCATCGTTTCTTTTGTTTTCCTTTTTTTATTTATTTTCAGATAGTCTTATAGTGAACAAACGAACTGAGATCTCGCAAATAAATAATTATCGAAAAAATATATTCCCAATATTACATTTCGAAAATTCTCTTAAAATAGTGTAACTTTGTCCTCGGAAGTTTGGATGATCCCAATTACCTAGTTTAATTCCTAATTGCACCGTTAATGCTTCGGATGACGAATTTACAGTAAGCTAAAAGTAAGTAAAATTTATAAAAAGAATAATAATTAAATAAATAAATAATTAAAGAAAATATCCAGCGTGTCTGTCTTCGATTCATAAAAACGTCTTTTTTATTTATTTTAGTGCATAAACTCGCCAGCTGAAGTATTGACATGCAATTAAAAATCACTCTGTGTATACACTAAGGGTTCTGAAATTTTATGCACCCTACTTGATCATATTCCAAAATAATACAGCAATTATTTTTCAAATTATTGTACGTTTGCCAATATAAGTGTAGCAGCTTGGAATTATAATAAATATAATTATATTATCTTGAAACATGATCATACAAAATTTCAGAGCCCTTGGTCTACAATGATAATCTAACAATTTTTTATTCAATAAATCGACTAAAGTCAACAGTTTCAAAACACTCTCTTAATCCTATCACCGATGTCTACTAATATGAATGAAAAACACAGAACAAAATTACACGACCAAATTTTCAAATGCCTAAATCATCAACGATACCATTTGAGGATCAGAATAAGATACGAACAAAATCGAGGACGGGGTGAATGCTGGCAGCTGCATCGAGCATCATCGCTACTCCACATGTTAAACACCTAGAGTTTTTCTTCGTTTCGTTATAAATAATTAGAATGACGTTTGACTTACCACGCGAGAGCGAAGGACAGAGCCCGGAGATCGCGTGAGGGCGGCCGCAAAGCGTCGAAAAGGAATTTTACATTTGCACACAAATTTTCTTTTTTTCTTTTCTCTCTTTACTTTTTTTTCTTTTTCATTCTTTTCTTCTGTTACTTTCGGAAATTCATCGAAACCGATCATGCCAAGAGTCAAATCATGGGCGGGCGGTGGCGCGTGCCCGCAGGGGTACCCTGTCCCAGCATTCAGGTTTTTCCAACGAGCTCGATCCCCCTTCTTTCACATCTTTTCATCTTGTCTCCCAAGAAATTTTTGCTTTTCATTTACACCGTTAACACGAAATGGAATTTCCTCGCTCACGAAAAAATGCGAAATCGTTCGATGTACTTTTTCGTTTACTTTGCATTTGTACTTCTAGGAACTAATTCGATCGAGCTCGCTGGTGCAAAAGATAACACGTACATCGACGTGGCTACTTCAACCCGAAGGCAATCGATTTTCCAAGACACCCGCAGGTACAAAATTATATACTCGATTGGTTAATTGCATTGTCTGGCCAAGCACTCGGTGATTCTGTTCACTCTGTCCCAGGGAAAATCAATTGCCTCGGTAAACAGTTTCGAACCCAGACAAAAGTTGCCCGAAACGCGACGATCCGCGCGATAAAAGAGTAGTTAAAGTCCGGCCTGCAACACGAATTCGGTACCGCGTGTGCGGCGGTCGATTTACATCGCAAAAGAGTCCTCGTTCAACATGCTCGTGTTTATCTCGCGCGACCGTAGATTTCCGAACCGAGCGACCGTTACAGACGACAAAAAAAAAAAAAAAAAAAAAAAAA